AAACACAGCCCTCAAAATCTGGTATCATCAAGTAATGATTCCCCAGCCTACCGCCACAAATACCAATCATGAAACTGTGTTAGCCACTGCTTCTTGCGTATTTCTACACCCTCCTTCTCCCCAAAGTGGCACACTTCACAGTCTCATATATTATCACAATGTGAGCCTCTTCTAAGAGAACCTGACCAGCAGATGTTTACTGATATTACATTTCTATGCAGTATTTATTCTGCTAACTCCTGTTCAGAGATGATTTTAACATCTGTTCCAACCTACACCTGCTGCAATGCTTGGCAATCCCCGTATTTATTTTCAGTCCTTTAATAATGTTATCAATCTATGAATGCACATTTTCAGTCTTACTGTTGTTTTCTAATCATTAGAAGCTTTCCAATCTAAGAATTCTCCTTTGACAACTAATTTCTGCCAGGATATCAGTAGGCCAGCAAGTGCTGTGGCTACAACAGCAACCCTTGTTTCAGCTCCTATCAGGTTTCTGAGTCCTGCTAAACAGTCAAACTGTGCGAGCTGCCACCCTGAAGATCTCTTTTGCAGGGTGGTTAGGATAAAAGAAAGCCGATTGCTAACATCATGCATTGAGTCCAACAGACAGAGAAGCCTGACCTGTTTAAGTCCTCACAGACCAGAAGGTGGCCCGTGGTCCCTAATGCCCCAAGTTGTGGGCAGAGATCACACACCATGGCTGGGAGAAGAGAACCTGGCCCTATTTATTTTCCTTTTTGGCATTAAGGCTGCTTCAGCAGCTCACAGGGAAGCTTAATGGATCACCAATGACTGCTGCTGAGGCAGTATGGGTGTGGGATTTTAAAATTTTACTGTTGCTTTCCCGTGTTACATAAGCATGAGAACGGACGTGGGTTTACTCTACAATGCAACACAGCTGAGCATTAGCAGAAACTCACAGAACAAGCTCCCGTTTGTGGGTTTTAGTGTCCCTCTCAGTTTAAAAGAATTTGCTGCAAACATCTCAGATGTTAGTGGTTCTCAACAGAAAAGCAATTTTTAGGAACGCACAGAGCAAGAATTTATTGATGCAGTTAGAAAGCCCCCATTGACACCTAAATGAGCATCTTCTAGCAGCCTGTAATGTTCCTTTACCCTCTCATTTCAAGAAGGCTTCACCACAAGTGGTATCACCTGAGGTCTCTATCAGCTTTCCAGAATAAAAACAAGAAAAAAGGGAAAAGCTTTAGGGCTTTCCCACTGACTGCACTGTAACACTTCTCGATAAGATTTCCCACTGACATACAGTATAATACATTCAAACTACACCATCAATACTTATTCAGCATAAGCATCAACTCCATAAGGCATGGCCAACTTCTGAGCTATTCACCTTTCAGAAAGTGAGATCATTTGAATCCTTCATTTATCTCTTCCTGACTACACTCGGTCCAGAGAACAGCTGAAAACATTATTAAAAAATATTTTCAACAGTGATGAGATTTCAGACTACCTAGACAGCTCCACTCTATGTTCTGCAGACAGCCCTAACTTCAGAAACTTGGACTTCAAAGAAACTAGCAGGAGAACTGGTATGTCTTGGGCACACAGAAATTCAAGGGAATTGTTAAATGTGTATCATCTTAAATCTATGCTCTAGTAGATAAATTATCTCCAACGCTTATCAATTTACACATACAGCAACCTTTAAGACTCCTGCAACAAGTGTGCCCTTGTAAAACTACGATAAGGAACTTAAGATAGTATCTGTTTGACACACTTTGTGAAAATTAAAAGATGAATAAGATGGGCATAAATTTGAAAGTAAGTACCCTAAAATTTTCATACGCTCTTCTGAAGGAAACAATCATTCACTCCCTCAACAGCCCTCAATCACTTGCTCCTGCTGACCAGTTCCAAGCAGATTTGACAGCAGGCTGTGGTTCTTAAGACTCTTCCAAGCTGTCAACCTAGCAGAAGGTTTCCACTTCACAAGAAAAAAAAAAAAAAAAAAAAAGAGAGAGAAAAGCATTAAATTAGCATCCATACCAGAGAAGAAGGTGCAGCATGAGCATAACTATTATTTGTTCTCCCAGGCAAGCTGGCTTGTCAGAACAGGAGAGCTGGGCAGTCAGCAAACAGAGTTTTCCACCAGGTACAGCAGTATGCTGCCTTTGTCCAACCCGTACCCAAGGAAAGGCACAGAAGGGTTCATGCATCAAAACCACAGGGAATAGAAAGAGATTAAGAACTTGCAAGGAGAAATTGCAGTTGTTACAGTGGTGAAAGATTATAGAGGTGATAGAAAGAAACAGGGTTATTGCAGTGGGGGAGATACAAGGCACAGGATTTGTTAATCCCCACCACCCACCCAGCTTCATTAGTTTTAAGACTCATGGAACCATTAGCTTGTTTATTGCCATGTGTCACCACATACATACAGAGAATGTAATATACATAGTATTGTGCAATAACAGGGCTGGCAGCTCCACAGTCATTGATACAGTTCAGGAAATCACGCTGCAGTACATGCTGTATTAACCTTTTCTGAAAATTATGGCATCTTCTGAAAGGGCATTTATGAGCTTAGTATTACTTCAGGGTACAAGCAGGATGTTTATGGCTTGACAGCCTTCATCCACATTCACTTCATTTAACGTAACAGCAACTTTCATTTACTAGTTCCCTTTCAGCAAAATTAGTTTAGGAAATCTGACTCTGCCACTCATCTAGAAACAGATTTTCCTCTCCAATTCCCAACGAGGAACTGTATTTGCAATCATCTTTATGTTACAGTTAGCAAAACAAATAGGGCATTCACTTCAACGCTGTCCATTACATTGGTATTTTGCTTTCTGGACTTGTTTTTAAAAACATTTTTCATATAGAAAAAGGGAAAGTTCTTCTTATCACTCAGAGTCAGCTTGTGTTCTTAAAGTACTGCCTTCCTAGTAAAAAAAAGGCTCTGGACAAAGTGGACAGAAGATGAGAAGATCATCTTTCCCTGTCTCTGAAAGCAAAGAAGACACGAGAATGCCTGTGAAACCCCATTAAAAAAAAAAAAAAAGATGTATTCAAGACTTAACTGTAGAATGTTGACATCTATCACTAATATACACCGAGTATCAGTTAATGGCATAAGGAATGCACATGGTCACAACTTTAATGGCACACGGTACAGCATAACTAATAAACTGAAGCAACATTCCATATGTTATCACTTTCTACTCTGCACAACATCTGGAAATGCAAATGTTGCACAACAGGATATTATAGAACATTAAAATAAGAAAGAGAATATTCCATATTCAAGTTATTTTTTCTAAGAAGGCTTTGAGAAACTCTGAAGCACAGTCATTCACATATGCAGTACACTGCCATACCTGAAGCCTTTTCGGAGGAGAAGCAGTCTCTGAAAATACAGTGCTTTGTTTTTTTTTTTTTTTATAAAGGTCAACATGAAAATATATAAACAAGTTATACGGGTATTTTGCTCTCTTTTGAGTTGAAGAGTTTTTGCAAATGCAAGGTATAATGGTAAACACCTTAAGATTCTGGAGAAGACCAGACTGGTTTTGATACTGCTGAAGCTTCTTTGCAGTATTTAAGGTTTACCTTCTGAAAGAAAAACAAAAACAAACCAAAACACACAACACAAACAAAAAAAAAAAAAGTATCATCATCTCTCCTCCCTTACCTATTAATGTATATACAGAACAAAACTCATTAACAGGAAGTGGCATGATGATTATTATTTTTACATTCTAAAATAAAGAACCTAATGAGTCTCTACCAAGCAGAGAGAACAATACAATCTAATGGAACACCACCTGTATTTTAAATCCTCATGCAAACTTAAGAGGTATACTTAAGATGTTTTAGGGAGATTCCAATCATCAAAGTACAGCTGAGGACAAATCGGTGTAAGGCTTTCTTCATCGGGCTAGTAAACTAAACTATTCAGCTATACTTTAAGACCAGTCCTGCCCTTAAGGCTAGTTTAAGCCCTCTCCCTGGAACTCCTTAAGACATTTATTAAAAATAAAATAAACATCACCGGAAGAAAACCATGTAAGCCGTTCAGAAGCTCCACTTCAAACACAGGAACTCTGAAAACGCAAGCATCACAGAGCGGGCAGAGACCTTTCAGAAAAGCTGTTCTGCCTTGCCATTAGATAAAACAGAGCAAGGTCAGTCACCTCAAAATTTTGTTTCCCAATACAGACTCTAGAATGGATAATCATAAATGAGGCTACTGAGTCTTGATTATAAGGTATGACAGAGTCGACAGGTTGCACAGATCCTAGGAAGCAACAGGAGTACAGTTAGAAGGCCATGTATTCCATTACATTTTTTTCCAAATCACTTAGAAAAAATACTTTGAGGAAAAACTAATTAAAGAAGGTGTGAGGACTGAGAGTGCAAATAACTTACCAGGCCATAGTAATTCAAAGATTTCTTTTTAAAGGAGAAGTAGTAAAAACGTAGCTCCTTCGAAGCCACTGGCAAAACCTCCACTGACTTCAAGAAGAACTTAACTTCCTTGCTTATGCTTGGCATGCAATATATCTAACTCAAAGGAAATTTACTGATAGTCAGAATCACTACAGAAAGCACTAGATCCAAAATAAAACCTCTAATCTTAAGAGTTGACAAACTTAGAAGCATTTCAGGCATTCTTCACTGGACGTTTCTCCTTAACAATTACTGTAGCTTTCCACATAGAGTACCTTGTTCTGTTTGACTTCCTTTTAGTAAGACAGCTAAGGTATTGAGATGTCTTCCTTCTTCTTACCTCAGCAGCTGAGAGTTTTAATAAGGAAGCATTATTACTGGTACCGACATAACATTAAACCAATACTGATAAGAACACTGATGCGTTTTGCGAGATACCTGTAACGGTTCTAAAAAACACTCCGTTTGGCCATATTCCCTATCTGACTGCCCTCATCCTGAGGCAGAGGCCACCAACCGTTTCGAAACGGTGCAGGAAAAGACACAACTGCAACCAACCACCGCCACCACACAGCGCTTACCCTAACAGGAGGGCTCCGGGCTTGCACCCTTTGCTGCTGTCCACCTTGAGAGCTCTGCAGGTCCTTTGATCCGCAATTAGCTACGGTGTTGATAGGGACCCTTAAAGCATTTGTGCTACCAGTCCCACCACCAGCACCGGGTTTTCGAGGCCTCTGTTTGATGCCATCCAGCAGTCGGACAAGTAAAATATTACTGGGAAGTTCATCGACACTGCAGTCCACTAAAGTCCTGCACTCTGGACACCGAAGCTCATTTCGAGAGCTCACAATGCCCAGCAAACAGCGTTTACAAAACGTGTGTTGGCAGGGCAAGACTTTTGCAGAAGCATCAAGGCGTTCTAAGCAAACAGGACACTCCAACAGATCCAGCAAAGCCGATTCATCCATTTTCTTTGTATTACTTAAGCAAAAAACAAATCTTTGCAGAATTGGTGTGTTTTGAGCACTCCAAGGATATCATGTTACATCCATTCCTCTTCTGACTGTGCTCTGAAATTTTTTGAGGGAAAAAGGCATTAGTAAACTGGAATAAAGACTCAGCAAGATTATTTTACATGAAGATATTCTTTCAAAGAGTAAAATAAAAGATCGCTAGACTAATTCAGTAAGTATTTCCAATAAATGGAAGAAACATTAGGAGACCAATAATAACTAAATAGATATATTGATGTTAAAATATTGTAACAAATGCTAACAGCTAAAGGCTTTTAATTCAAGTCCCCATAAATTTTAATCTTGAGTGATTCTGTTTTCTCAAATTATTCCAGAATCAAGAGTTATCCCCAGCACAACATTATAATAAAGCTTACTTTTCACAGTTCTTGCTTAATACACCTGCATCTCTGAACATTTACTTGAAATGAGCTTTTTTCACAAGAAGACGGCAAACTGCAGCTGGGTCCAAAACAACTGAGCGTACACCAACTGGGCACAGCAAGGGGAATTACGTTTATGCCAAGGCAAAGCCAACAGCAGACTACATTTCTACCATGTCTGTGAGAAGTAACAGCAGCATATTAGGCACATCAGTCCCGCAGAGAGGCTGTAGCTCACAGGGTTTTAACCTTAGCGCAGGCACTGACAAGCGGGTTCGTTCCACCGCCGCCTTTCAGAAGCGCTTCGGAAACTATCGCCAAGTGATTTACAGCAGGAAGTGCTCCTGCCATCGCGTTAGGACAACACGAGCGCTGCGTATGCAGCCACCGAGGCAGGGGCAAGCCTGCGGCCGGCTGAAGCGTACGCAAAAAAAAAAAAAAAAAAAAAAAAAAAGAAACACACCACCAAAAAAAAAAAAAACCAAAAAAAACAAAAAAAAAAAAAACCAAAAAAACCTAAGGAAAAAAAAAAAAAAATGTTCTGCGGCAAGTCACGCCAGGCGGCTCCACAGGGGGGAAAACGCCTTGTTGAGCTCGGCAGCCCCCACCGCTCCGCGCCCGCGTACCGGGCGGGCGGCCCCAGCCCGGGCAGCGCTTCCCGCGGGGGGCCCGGCGGGGCCCCCACGGCCGCGCGGCCCCGTCCCGGCCCCGTGGGGAGCCGCCGCGGCCCGGCGGCGGGTGAAGCCGAGCGCCTCCAGCCACCCCCCGCCGCCGGCCTGCGGCAGCGGCTCGCCCGGTCCCCGCACGCGTGTCGGGGCGCCCGGTCCCCGCACCTACCTCCTTTCGGGCTCCGCGCCCATGCCGGCTCCTTTATTTATTTAGATTTCCCCGCTCCCCCACCTCCTCCTCCTCCTCGTCCTCCCGCCTCCCCTAACGAGCGGCTCGCAGCCCTCCGCGTGGAGAGAGGTGCGAGTGGGGGACGGCAGCCCCGGTCGGTGCGCCCCGCGGCGGGGCGGGGGGGGGGGGGGGGAAGGAGGCGGGCGAGGGGCAGGCCCGGGGCACGGGGCTGTCACCCCGCCCCGCGGCGCTGAGGGGAAAGGGGCGGCCGGGCCTGCGCCCCCCCCCCCGCTCCCCGCCCCACCGCGCCGCCCCTCGGGGGGGGGGGGGGGGGACGCGGGAGAGCCCCCGGGGAAGCCGAGCGCCGCCGCCTCCCCCTCCGTCCCTCACCGTGCGGCGCCGCAGCGGGCCGGAGGGGCCGCGCCGCCCCCGCTTTGTTCCCGTGAGGAGCCGCCGCCGCCGGCCCCACCGGCGGCGCCTCTCCCGCCGCGGCAGCGCCGAAGCTCCCGTCCCCTCCCCGCCGCGCCGCGCCGCGCTAGGGCTGACGCGAGGGGGCGGCACCGCCCCGCCCGGCACCGCCCCGCCGAGGGGGCCGCGGGGAGGGCGGACCCCGACCCGGCTCGGCCCGGGCCACCCCCCCCCCTCCCGGAGCCGCGGCAGCGCCTCCCCTCACGGGAGGGGCCGGGACGGGCCGCCCCTTTCCCCCCCCCCCCCCACTCCACCGCCCCTTCGCCAGGTGCTGTGGGGTGAGGGGGGGGGGGGGGGGGGCGGCGGCTTCCCGCCCGGTGTGTGAGGGGGAACCGGGCACCTGGGGCTGCCGCCGCCGCGGTCTGTGGTAAATCAGGCCGGGAGCGCCGGCCCGCGGCGGCCAGGCCCCACGGAAGGAGGAGCCGGGGTGCCCCGCGGCCGCGGAAACGCTCCTCGGGGGGGGGGGGGGGAGCGGGATCTCGCGTGGGGCGGAGGGGCCTCTCCCGGCGGGACCCCCGGGCCTGCCCTCCGCTCCCGGGGGGGCGGCGGCTCCCGGCTCTGGGCGGAGGTTCAGCCGCCGCCGGGGCGGGGGTGCGGGCCGGGCCCCGGCCGGGAGGGCAGGGAGATGGGGGGGGGGGGTGTCCCCGCTGCCGTCGAGTGCTGCCCGTGGGGTGCAGCGGGCCCTGGCAGAGCGCTCCGTGGGAAGGTCGAAATGCCGCGTAAAGCGTTCCTCTGGGGCGTGCGCGCCTCCCTGCAGGGTGATGCGGAGTTATTAGTTGGTGTCGCTCTGTTAAAATAGTCAGGTGAAGTCAGGAGCTGCCCCGAATCGGTGTGTGTCCCTCCTGAGGCACGGCCCTGTGCTCAGGAGATGAAGTGCTGGCATTTTGTGTGAAATACGTCTCTCCGAGACTGTGGGAAGGAAGGAGGAAGTAAACCCTAAGGTACATACAAATTATCACAAAAGAAAACACAAAAATATTTGTAAAATGCACTTTTACATGAGATGGCGCACCTTGTCTGTGCATGGTGAAAAAATGCAGAGAAATGTCTAAGGTCAAGTTCATCATCTTGTCATCTGAAACTCAGAAAGGAATGAATCCAAAAGCTTCTTCCTTGTGTGTGGTGTTGAGCTGTTCGGGTTCGCTGTCATTCTTACTGAATTTTGTGTGTATATAAAAAGCTGCTTTTTGCCTTTTTTTTTTTTTTTTTCCTCTCTCCTGTGGGCTGTGTAGATTTGTGTAAGTCAATAGCATGGCAGGCTTTTATGTCTTGCTTTCTGGATGTGATATCTTGGTTGTCTCCCATGGGAATGATGTTCTATGATTATTAGGATTTCCCAGTAAGTGCTCCCACTGAATGCATCTCTCATTTATTCTTTTTTAGTAGTAGTAGTGGAAGAAATACTGAAAGCGCTAAATATATAGAGTTCATTAATAAGGTTTCCTCCCCCATGAATTCTGGAGTTTAGGAAAACTGATACAGATGGGGTTCTGGTCTGTGTCTGTGCTTTCCAGGGAGTATCATAACATAAATAGAAGAGAAGGGTATAAACATCAGATACTTAAGAATATTTCTGTCTCGTAGTGTTCCTCTATCTTGCTGTATCAGCGCTGCCACTACAGAAAGAAGGATAGTCAGGACGTTGAAAATAGAGACTTGTTGAATGTAAACAAGAAGGCATCTCACAGTTGGATTTCCCTTTTGCCCATAGCTTTTCCAGAAGATGTCATCAAGGTTGCATGGTAATAATTTGCCAGCCTTTCCAGCATAATCTTGTAAGCAACACAATTATTGTTGTCTGAAGTTAGTTTGCCGTCTAAGAAATGTAAAATATCTATTAAAACAGTAGGGGAATTTACAATATAGATGGTGCACCAGGGAAGCAAGATGAAAGTCCAGGCAAGCAGGATAAAAAGATATTAGTCCTTTATCAGAGCTGGTCTTTGATAATGTTTTATGTAAATTCTGTAAAATACTAAATGTATTGTGGGATACCAGCGAAAGGAGTAAACATTCTGAGGAGTATCTGATAAATCTGTTACTTCCTGAGCAGCAGCAGTAGTTAATTTTCAAACAAATACAATCTGTAAAAAACTGCGGGTGTGTGTGCTGATGTACGCCACTGCCCTCTTCCGGATCAAGTGTCTGGCTCGGAGTGGCTGGAATACTCTGGCGCCAGGACTGGAAGGAACAGAACTGCTCTAAGGTGAAGCATTTACCTATTTTCACTTCCAGCCACAAGCAGGGAACTGTACACTTAGCACGTTTTTACACGATGAGACCTCCCTTCTTGAAACCATTCCATTCTTATGTACAGTTCATTAGTTCCTTGTGCAACTTTTACTAGGTAATTGATGCAAAGGAGAGACTGCACAGGGCAGAGAACCATTAAAACCACAGATTTGAAGGTTGAGGACCTCCAGTTACTCAAATCCCTGGATTTCTATGACTATAATGTCTATTATTATTTTATGCATTTTTGGTGTAATAAACTGCACTTCTGAAGTTAGTGTTTAGGCACAAACTTTTTTTTTTTTTTTTCTTCCAGCATATGCTGTTTCTGTTTGTCTGGAAGCTGTTGAGTGAAGGAAGAAGCAATGGGCAATAGGCAGAACAGCAAAAGATAAAATGTCAGACACAGAACTGGTAATGCCGTGTTTCTTTCTTTTTTTTCTGTGTTCTGTGTCCAGCATCTTTGATGCAATAGACCTACTATGTCCTCTGTGCTCCTCCTTCCCTTTTATAGGTACCTTATTTTTTTGTCTGCGGGCCAACCAGCTGAGAGGCCTCCCCCCATGTCTTCAGCCCTCTCTGCCAGATCCATCATACTTTCTATTCCTCCCTAAACCCCACTGCAGTAATTCCTGTTTCTATCACGTTTCCAAGGATCCTTAATTTTTCCTCTGTCTTTAAAATGCAAGGCAGTGCATACTGTGCCTGGTTTTGGGCAGCACTGGCTAGCTGGTCAGTTGGCAAGCTAACAAGAAGAGGTAACTTGACCTTTGCTGCACCCTTTTCTGTAGCGGGGGACATGAAATTTTAGATGTTTTCTGGGTATGTCCACTATTTTCCATAAGCCCTATAGAATCTTAACTTTACAAGTATTCTGTCAGGTTTTACCAATGAATTATAAATAAATGAGAAGAGGGGCTGACAGGTGTACTCTATAATCATTTCCACCCAGTTCCTTTAGAAATTTAACAAAGTAATATGAGATATTTCAGAATAGGATTCCACTTGTTAGCATGCAAGTCTTTTGAAACTTGCGGCCATTTGTGAACTAAAGCACCAGAGAGTGAAAGCATTAAATGCACTCAAGTACACTAATGCACTGAAAACCAAAACCAGGTCCAGTCTTCATTCTAATACTTACAAAATGTCCCTGAAGATTGTGACCTGGATGGCAGGATAACCCACGTGCCTGAACAAGTCATGTTAGCAGTCTGTAGATTTAGAGTCATAAATCAAAACTGAGTGAGTGCTGAGTACTGAAACCCTGGCCTGTGAGAATAAACATTTGAAGGCGTATTTAATTTATTTGTGAATTCCATCTTAAAATCTTGAGATGACTACAAAAGAGACTCAGAGGTAATAAGGAACATGGAACGAGGTGTTACGTCGTATCAGAAAGAAAATACAACCGAAGATAGTTTCTTGTAGCAGTCATAGTCTGAATTTTTTTGTTCGTAGGTTCAGGAATTAATTTTAACATTAAGATTCTTTCTGCTGAGAATGAGCATGTTTTGAAGATACATTCTTTGTACTAAACTATTTTTATAGCTATTTTTTTTGTCGGAAAGGATGATGATTCCCCAGTTGTCATGTCCACATTAGCCAATCCTTCCCATGCAATATAGATCACGAGCACACACCAAAAAGGTTAAGCTTATTTCCTTGTAAAAGGACCCCTGGAGATGTGGTGACGATTTCCTTTCAAAGGCAACATCAAATTCCCACTGACGTCAATATAGTAAGAGTTTACCGCTGATGGCCATGCTGATATTGCTGGTTTTATATCGGAAAGTACAGCACATGAAGTGTGACCAACTTTCTTCAGTCTCTGGCAGAAATGAGCAAGGATGTTCTTCAGTGACTTTGTTTCTTTGTCATTAAAGAGTTGGGGATTTTTTTTTTTTTTTTTTATTTTCACGGTTTTCTTTTTTGGGGGGTTGAGGGGATTGTGGCTTGGTTTGGGGGAGGTTTTTTTTGTTTTGTTTTTTATGTTGTGGTTTTTTTTTTATTTTACTACAAGATGTCTGTGCTGGAGTTAGTGCTAACTGCAAATTGCTTAACTCAGTTATGGTTGGCAGAATTCTAGCAGCATGAAACTCAGCATGGTTGATATTGATCCAGTCAGTTCACTGGCAAACTGGGTTTTGTGCTGCCCCTGCTGCACCTTCTGTGTTGTGAAGTAGTCATAAGCAGATCAGTGACTGTTATACAAATGTACTTCTAAGGCTTCTGCATCCTGCCAGAAGGATGTCTGCTGCTTTTGGGTTGTGGGTTTTTTTTTTTTTTGTATTTGTGAGGAGGCAGGATAAATGGGTTGTTGCACTTCCAGTACAGTTTGGCTTCTAGTTCTCCATCTTTATTCTGTATTCTAGGCATCTAGCTTGGAGTATGGACAAAATTTGCCTGGCTGCATCTCAAACCTGACAAGACAGATGACATTTCACTTTTGTTTACTTTTTAGTTTCCTGTTTTCTTGGGGAGAGTATAATTTCTGTATTAATGTTGCAAACTAGCTCTCTCTGACAATGTGAAGCTGGGATCGTACATTTGCACATATTGATGCTTTTGTAGTAACTTAATTTACACTGCAGTGAGGGAACATGCAACAGAAAAAGTGGTTGTGGCATAAAACAAGAAATGTGTAAGAAATCCTCAGAGTTTAGGTGAG